TAAAAACTGAATAAATCATTAAATCGGCCATGGTTCTATTACGATCTCAAGGATTCGATTGAAGAAGGCGTATTTCACTTTTCTCGCAGTCATGCATTTTTGACGGGAGCGCATGATCATCACAACAGCCGGATCTGCGCCATCGGGCAGGTTCTCGTTGCGCTCAAAATCGGGGAGACAGCTAGTCGAAATAAATCAACCGGGGACATGTCGCGCATGAAAGTCCCAGTGCAGGAAAGTTTCAATATTTCCAGATGGGGGCTCATCCAGGAATGTCATCGTGGCGCAGCTGTTTTTTTTTTTCCTCGCCAAAGGACGAGAAGAAACCGCGACTTCCCTCCTGGACGGAGCTTTATCGCATGACTCGGCTGGATGCATCACTCAACCCGAGTCATGCCGAATGACTTTTTTTTTTGGGGGGGGGGGGGGGTCGCCTGGAAGTCTCGCTCCTTTCAATTATTCAAGGAACGCAGGGGCTCACGTACCTGGAGGAATCCAAGATGGAAGAAACCGGCTGAAAATGAGCCGATGAAAATTCTTTTTTGAACTCTCTTTAAAATCTGTCGGAATTTCATGAAAGGACGCTGATGAACGATATAAGAAGCAGCTGGAAGCATACCCTCGACAGGTTGCAGGAGTATAGGAAGCAAATGACGATTCTAAATACTAGATGGCGCAGTTCCATCTTTTTGCCTTATAATTATGAATAAGGCCATTATATTCTCATTAACATTGCTCTTTCCTGTTGGGGGTTGGGGGGAGGAGGGGAGATCTGCTGCTGCCTCAATGACAAACGAAGTCTTCCCGGAAAAGGAGTCTGAGTCTCCGCCATAATGCGATAAAGCTCCGTCCAGGAGGGAAGTCGCGGTTTCTTCTCGTCCTTTGGCGAGGAAAAAAAAAAACAGCTGCGCCACGATGACATTCCTGGATGAGCCCCCATCTGGAAATATTGAAACTTTCAAGAGGAAAAGTAATAAGATCAATCGTACAAAAATCACACAGACGAGAATATTGAATTCGACAGCATGAGTAATCCAACATTACAAAGAACCTAGAGAGAGCTTTTATTGCAGATAGAGATTATTTTCAGGTTAATATCGAGTTTGAAATAAGGTGTACAAACCGCCAGAGTGGGTGAAAATGAGCAAAATTGTACAGGGCGATCCATATGAGCTCATCGTGGGTTTACCAGGCGATTATATTGCAGGTAAGATGGTGAACGTGCAGTTAGGGCAACGAAATGGGGACTGTGATTCCGAAGTGAGAAGCAAACCCGCTCATTTTGTTTCCGGGACCTTCCCCATCAAAGGACCCGTGACTTCCAAACTGAATCACCAGCTGCATCTGAGAGGCTGGCATGATTACATACTTTATATTATTTCATTGAATGGAGGCCAGATAAGTTGAGGGGGAATTTTCAACTCCTTTCCGTCGAGATGAGAATGAATCTTGTGAAAAAATTCCCACTCATTGAACCATCAATGCCACACAACTTGTCGATGTCGATTGACACGACTGTCATTTCGAAGTTGATCGAGACGACGAGATGTTCATTATCGCGTTCGTGAAAACGAGGACAAGTTAATGAATGGCTCTGAACAGGAAAAAAGAAAGAAAAAGTCCCTGAGGCGAAACTCGTCCGCTCAGGAAAGAGAACCTGGGATTATGGCGGAGACTCAGACTCCTTTTCCGGGAAGACTTCGTTTGTCATTGAGGCAGCAGCAGATCTCCCCTCCTCCCCCCCTCCAGAATGGATGAGAGCAGGGAGTTTTTCTCCTTCTTGGCCTGTTTCAGTTTCCTGCGCTGGCACCCGCAAAATAGACAGCCCTCGAGCGTAGCCTCTTTCGTGAATGGGGGCCTCAAATTGAAAGCTTTTCCTGCTGCTTTTCCCTGTGTAGTTTAGAAATTGCATTGATGGGTTGCATTGGACTAATACGACGAATTATCTACATCGCACTGCCATGGTGAAAGCGAATTTTTCGTTATTCGTGCAAAACGGGATCGAATGAATTGCGGTAAGAAATATATAGAACATGGCCAAATAAGCATGACATTAATGAAAAAGCGGGTCTGTACAAAGTATAGCGATTTGTATAAACGTATTATGAATTATTCATTCATCGGCTCCTTTATTATCTGTTCCAATTACCCAGAAACATTCATTCATTATTGAAAAACAATCATGTCAAAAAAATGTATTTCAACCGATGCACGAACTGCCACACTAAAAAAATGTGATAGGAGGAAAAAGTAATAATCAGTCCGTTGAAATGTTGTTGAAACTAGTTTTCGGCTCGTAAAAAAATGAAAAGTACTGATGGGGAGAGGCGTTCACATGAATGAAGAAAGGTCGTCATATTCTATGGAATTCCAAAGCGTCTCCCATCACATTCCTGGCATACACGCAACGGCGTTGTGTGAGCTAATACCACCCGAAGCAGATATGAGTAGAATTCCGTAGCCACCTCGTACATGGGATCGGGGATGGGAAAAGACGCGTGGTGGGTGAGACACTTTCGCCATCTAAGGATTTCTCTTGAAGCAGTAATTCCCCTTTCTTCCACCAGAGTGATCTGTAATCTCCCGCCACCCACACTCTTTTTCGAAAAATTCCATGATAATGCTATCTTGGGGAGGCGTCTTGGATCCTGTGGGAAAGACAAACTAGAAGTGGATGGACCCATACGTTATTTCTTTCTAGGAGGGAAAAATTCGAGGTAATGGAATGCATGAGAGAAAGCGAAGGAAATCGGGATGTGTTTCATCTCCAGATGTGAATGCAGGAAGAATGTCCTGCCTTCCCTTCCCTTCGGCTTTCACAACCAGCTTGATTGCGTGGGACACAGAGCTTTGGTGGAGAATAAATCTGGCCGATGGGGCTCATTGCTCGATGGTGCGATCTGCAATCGATGTTCGTGTGCCTCAAACTACGGGGACGTCTGGACAAATACGGAAAAACTGAGTCTCGCGACAGAAAGAGATGAAATAGATTCTCCGATTTCCGACATGTTCCATCCGCAAATAATTAAATTTAGCGATGTGAAAACTATTTTCCCTAGGTTTTCCCTTTCTTCAACCTCCCCCTCCCCCGCCTCTACAGAACGCACTAACGTTTGGCCTAGGCCTAACCGACGTACTGTCTTCGCGACAGGCCTAGTCCCACCGAATTTCGCTAAAAAGAGACCGAATCATAAGTCAATTTGTCCGTGAAGGATTAAGCCACGCCTTTGATACATCTCCTCGAGGTGTGTAACGTCAGGCCAATCGAAGGCCCTTTTTGAGGAGAGTACGTGTAACTTTAGGCCAATTAGAGGTCTGTTTCGAGTATGATGAACCACCTCATCGGCACGGATGTGGAACGTAAGGCCCATCTAGAGTTCCTGAAGCCGTCTCGCCGAGCGATGAGGAGAAAATGCCTCTAGGAAGCATGGAACATAACGTGAGCGCCATCCTGTTAATTAAGGGATGTCCGAACGACGTATTTCGACATGCCATCAAATCGATCGGCCACTGCTAGCCACGATATCGATCTCGGCTCATTTGATGAACGTGGCACAAAATGATCTCTCGCAGGAAAATACAATAACCGGATACCGAAACTATGACCGAAGAAGTCATGGATGTGGCATAATTCCGGCACGATATCTGGCAACACTGAATGACGGAACTGGAGCCATCTCGCGATGCCTAAACGAACGAGAGCTAATTTCTTTTTTTTTCTAATGGCACTAAGTGCGAAATGGCCTTGGAAGCTGCAAAAAAACACACTCTTCGTCGTCTTCAAGTCAATACCTTGCTCATGGTTGGTCTCTTTCCTCCGAAAATTCCCCCAGAATGGCTATCCAGGGGTAGAGAGGGGGGGGGGGGATACCGGAATAAAACTGACTTGTTCGATCTCGACAACACTAGGGAGATGGAGGTTTAAATTTGCTGATGCGATTCTGGGGTGAATGAGGAAGAATCATGCCGAATTTCGTCGTTGATGCTCTTAGATAGGAATAAGAGGAGGTTGAATTTTGCCATGGGAAGTGATTCAAGAAAAGTAATATGCTATACCAAAGCCTCTGAATGAGGAGCGAAACGAACGCCAGAGCGACGGGTTTCATTTCATTTATTTATTTTCCATTGCTCTGTAATACTACCAATGACGAATGTAATAATTAAGGTCATCTGTTTTCATATCCTCGAGAAATGACTTGTAATCCCTGTGCCATACACGCTTGGATAGGAGTGAGATATGGCATCGGGAATCACTAGGCCTAGGCCTGCCTCTTCCACCCTAAGTATCAGGACTCACGATTTCGTCTAACGAGTCGGTTCACGGTGCGTCCATCGAGGAGATTTCCGGACGTTAGGCCGATACGAGGTCTGCCAAAAGACTGTAATGAAAATAATAATTGATAAAGATGAGATCCTGTTTCCTCGGCGTCCCTCGGACGATCACGCTTGGAAATTCTCGTGATGAATCTCTGTCCAGAGAGCGTGATGCATGACGTAAAGGGGAAGGAATTAAAAAAAAGAAGAGAGCGCGGAGGCGTGGAATTCGTCTCTCTATCTAGTGAGCGTTGCAGGAACTGAAAATGGAAATTCATTTTCCCCTCTGCCCTAACGGATAAGGGTAAAATGTATAAAATGAGCTTCGTGGCTCCGATTGGCGAAGAAAGCGAAAGAAAGGAGACATTTTCTTATGTCAATAACCACGCATATCGTTTATTAAAATTTTGAATGGACGTTATGGGATCGAGAGGCACTGCGGAGAAAAAGTAGCTGGGGCGGAGTGAAATCCATTCGGTCGACGGAAGACGATTCCCTCGTGCCGAGGACGGGACGGACGAAGACGGCAAAAAAAAAAAAAACGGGAGAACACGGATTCGCCAAAAATGGGAAATCCTACGTCCGGATTCTTCCTCTCGTCTTCAGATGACAACGGAGAATTCATTTTCGCCTCGAAACGCTTCCGTTCCCCTCCCTTACAAATTCAGCCTACGAGATATAAGAGATTAGCGCAGATTGACTTTCGACAAAAGCTTTTTCAAAATATCTGGTGACAAGGTGGCAAGGCGTATCTTTCTTTGTTCCCTGTTCACTTGCTCGTCCTCTTGTTCCGTGGCCTCCATGTCGATTAGAAAGAGGTGGGAAGTGCTTCGAGATGCTCCCAAGTAAATATTTCCCTTCCTGTTCGATCTTTGATTGGTGATCAAAAACACGATTGGGGCCTCCATGCCCTTGAAGGATTGAGCATGATGAACGAGGAGGCGGCGGGTGGTGGAATAAACACGGAGCTTCTCTTCCATTTCCTTCCTCAGCCGTTCTCCGTGGACGAGGAAATCCCCATGGTCGGCGAAGAGGACGGCGATGTCCCCGGGGTGTCTCCCACTACCGAACTTCTCTCTTAGAATTTCCAGGATCTTTTCGGGGAGGTTGGAACTGTGAACGGGAAACCTTTCCACGTTGGGCCCCTGTAAATCGTGTCCCGAGAGAATTTCTTCCCTTTTATATGCGGCGTCGTGGGTGCCGGGAAAGCTCAATTGGACGTCTCTCTCTCGGTCGAGGTGAGTGGTCCAGGTGTGGAACACGGAGACCGGGTTTCTTAACACCGTCAATAAGGAATGAGCATCTTCCAACTCTTTTTTCAACGAATCCGGCATTTCCGTCATAGAAAAGGGGGAAAGGGGGTCATAGGTTCGCCAGAAATATCCTCCTCCTTGTTTTTGTAGGGAACGGAGTGAGTCCAACCAGTGGTCTGAGAGCGAGCAACACAATTCTTCGGCTTCGTCGACGAAGACGTGGTGGAAAGGGGACTCAATGGTCTTGAAGATCTTCTCCAAGTCCAGAAGCACGGGAGACTGAATCTCGGGCAGTTTCGTCACGCGGGCACGACATGAGGACAACCGAAGACTCATTTCCAGCATTGACTGATCCACAGAACCTTCGTTCATCAGCTGGTCCAGATTCTCCAATCCCTCCAATGCGATTGCCCAGATTTTTTCATTCAAAAAACGTAAATCTTTCATCTCGGGAATGAACGAGCGGAAGAGACTTTGGATGATGTCGGCTTTCCGCGTCCATCTTTCCTTTTTTTTGGGTGGGAGTGACACGACGGAGTCGAGGAGAATTCGATAGAAGAGGAATATTTCCCAGGTTACATTTCGGATGCGCCAGACGAGATTCGCCGTCTGGAATTCCTCATTCTCTTCTTCCTTTTCGGAAGGTGATCTTGCTTTGTCATATGACTCCATCCACGAACCATCACCGTACAATAAATCTATCTCGTGTTTCTTGCAGCAGACGATTAGATTTTTTAGTATGATGTCTTTTACCCTCCTCTTCTCGTTTTCATCCTGTGTTTTTTGTATCCATCGCCTTCTCATGGCCATGGCGGACGTCACGAGAAGATCTGGTAGAGTATCCAACAGATGCGAGTAAAGAATTCCATTACAACAGATAAGAATGATCTTTTCGTCTTCATCTTGGACGGATTCGTGTCGAAACCAGGACATGACGATGTTCCGGATCTTTTCCTGAAGGAGCCAAGTCTTTCCCGTTCCGGCCGCCCCTTTCACCACGAAGTCCTTCGGCCCGTTCACCAATATGTCCAGCTTGTCTGCGGTCAGGAAATTGAGTTTCTGCGTGTTCATTCGGGCCGTGTGCGCCGGGGTCACGTACACCGGCGCGATGTATCTAAAAAAGAAATGAACAAGATGATTTCCTCGCTCTCGCCAAGAACGCTGTTGTCGCAAACGAATGAGATTCACCGTGGAATATTTTATGAAACACGTGTGTCCGAAACGAAGAGGCGTACGACATAAAACTCGGATCTACGTGTACAAGAATAATTTCTGCCCGGATATTTAAAAATGTCGGAAACCGGTGACCTCGAGGTGGCACGTTCTCCCGCAACAGACGAGCAAAAAAATATATAGATCGATTGACAGCTTTCGAAACTTCCGCATGGAGTTTTAAATGGAATCACTTTAAATGCTTGGCGCCTGGAGAAACCCAGGCGAAAAATCCGACAGCCAGGGATTTCCTTGCCCTGAATTTGAAAATTCCACATCGCGAGTTCCTTGCATTGGGTCAAATTAATCTGATCCATTCCGCTTACCGCGTAGAAATGCATTTATATAGTGCACTTACTTTTAGGAGCGCTTCGTGCAAGAGGAAAAAAATCCCCTTGGAATGTGTCGCTTCGCTTCATCCTGTCTTCTTTACTTCCGCGGAAAGTATGAAAATAGGATGAAAATTGCATTAACTGCGAAGTATGCCGATAGGAAAGTATGGAAATAAATTATTTAAAATGCGGTGAGACCACAAATGAGACGGATTAATTTGAGCGACAAAGCAAAGGAAGCACTTTTTATTATTGTGTCGTGCGATTTCTCATTTTGGAGATCCAAATCTGCTCGGATCCTCATGGAACATCGCTAATTCAGAGTCCTTCCGATTCTGTCATTTTAAACATTTATTGGAAATGAAATCATGGCTGACTTTTCCCGTCGATTGCCAAATATGTTGCTCTTTTATTGTGGATGCCAAATGCAGAAATATTTTTGGCTCATGCCCTATCGGATCCAGGTGTTACATTTTATTACGGAAAGGAATGATTCGCTAAGCCGTAAGAGAGAATTCATTGCCATCTAGAGAATAATCATTGAACTATCGATTGTCGTAGTGGCGCTGCTTTCACGTGTTATTCAAGGTAAATCGAAGACGCTATAGCTCTCAGATAAGGACGACCCATAGGCACAATGATGAGCTGTGATGGAGCCATCTTAAGTCCACGCTGAGGGACCCGTTCCTACTACTTTGCATAGAGATGCCAGGGTGTTCGGTACCTGATTCCTCGAATGTCTCCATTTGTTCGAGTTTCCCTTAGATTCGAAAAAGGTGCGATAGGCGGGTATTGAATTTTAGGTGGGAAGGTCCTGGCCCTAGAGATCATGAATTGAACTGAGTTTTGAAATCCTCTCTTTGTTCAGGCCTAGGCCTACCCCATGGATGGACGATTGGGCCGATACTACTCTCGTACACACTTCTCCGTAAAGGAAACGAGATGTTAATTAAATAACTGTTGGCTTGCATACTACAGGTGATTGCAGAAAAGTTCTAATTCTTAGAATCCCATTCAAATTCCTAGCTGGTCGGTCTGGTTTAGAAATAATGAGAAGACAATTTCCTTTGAAGTTGGCATATGATCTCATTATTAATAAATCAAAAGGGCAAACATTGGGCTGGATTTACGCAATGACATATTTTGTCATGGACGATTGTATGTAGCATTAGGTAGAGTTAGAGAAAGGGATTCTGTAAAAGTACTTGTGCCTAAATATAAATATGAAGATGAGCAAATATGTCCTTATACAGTGAACATAGTCTATAATAAAAAATATTGCCTCAAAACTCTCTAGTGGCTTATGTGGTTCATATAGTTGCTATTACTCCTACTTTTTTGGAGATTGATATGTAGTGAATAGTGTGTATTAGGCAGGAATTGAATACACCAATGGAAGACTAATCTACACACTCACAAATGTTACATGGGGATCCTCATGCTACAAATGACAGTTTCACTAAGTAAATGTTCTTTAGCATCTTTATTTTAAAGATGCGAGGGTTGAACTCATGAACAAAGGAGTTTGATCGTTTTGGTAGGGGTGAGCATCGAAAAAGGATGCCTTAGATCGCTTAGCGCTGAAGGCATGTTCATAGCGAGTTTGTTTGCCCTTCGGGCAAACTCGTTATTTGAATATCAAATTGGTGCAGTTGAGAAATGTATGTGAAGATCAATATAGCATAACTTCTCAGGGTCTTTGTCATTATTAAATTCTGCTTTTTGTCAGAAGAATAAGAGTTTGACTAAAACAACTTTGTTAATATAAATGGACCACGAGAAGCTCATCATTACAGACGGCATGGATGGAAGGGAGACATGGCTCAAAACACATAATTTGGATTATGTTAAAGGTGATGAAAAGTATGTAGGTCTCAGTTGCCATATTAGTGTTAAAATGAGTGGCATTAGTGGAACATTATTAAAAATTGATAAATATGCTGAAGCTTGGCTGAAATGGCAAATGCCATCCATGCAGAAGAGCAGAAAATGCATTGAATTATCAAGTGTGGAAATGGAAATGTCATCAATATTCTGAAGCTGAATCATTCTACAATATCTGTAAAGGTGGTGGCAAAAAAATGTTATTTTAGGATATGCCAGGAATATAATTATGTGGTAATTTTGGTTTTAATGTATTCATTTAATTTATTGAATCTTGGAATTTCTATACTATACCTTTCATTGGACCTCCTCTGAGTGATACCTTTATTTCCCTCTTTTTGAAAAATTCCCACAGTTGCAGTATTGTTTAGTACTTTCTTTGGAAACATATTCCATTGATGCTTCTGACTCCATCTGCACCAACATATATCCTATGCATGGCTGCTCATTGTTGTCTTATCCTTCATTGTGCTTTTTGCTTTTGATATATGGTGGTCCATAACCACATGTACCCTGTTGATTGATCCACATCTAATGGATCCTTTTCTAGCTGGAAAGTTTCATTACTGAATGCTCATTTTCTGTGTCTGGTGAAGATGTCTAAAGAGCCTGCCCAAGCAGCATGTTCACGTAAACAAGATATCACTTTCTTGCAAACAATGTAAATTTCTTGCAATTGTCATGTAAATGACATCACGTTTACGCAAAATTTACATTCCTATATTTACGTCACCAAAGTGTACCTGTATTTTACATCAACTAGACGTCACTCCATCTGACGTGAAGTACATGATATCAGGTTTATGAAAAATTAACACCACACCATCCATATGAAACTTTAGCTGACCATCCTGCAGTTGCAGTACCAAGATTCCTCACTAGATGGAACCTTTGTTCCCTGCATCCTACAATTACTATTAAGTACTGGTCTTCCTGATATAGTATCAGGTTTTCTTACCATCCTTCCACTTTTTATTATGCAATCCATGAATATATATATGGGGAAAACATGAAATTATTATATATATTTTTATAATATATGACTCAGGGAATCATTAAATGCTGAAGTTAAGCTTTTTATTACAGCAGTGCACGGGATTAGGGAAGAGTAGTATCCCAGCCCCACAAGTACTACATCTTCTCTATCCTAAATGGCGAGAGAGCTCCTTTGAACATCTACTCCTCCTCCCGAGGTTCCGGTACGGGAGGAGGAAGCAGTAGGTCACTTTGGTACTCTTAGAGTGCTGGAGAGGATGAGTACTCGTGTACTCGTCCAACCACTCTAGAGTTCTAAAGAACCTAAAGGAATAGGAGATACATTATGTCATTTCTCTTCAATGGTACTGGTTGACTCTTTAAATACGCATGAATGCCAGGGGAAAATTAACACAAATCTTACATAAAATGAATGTAAACATGGTGTTTGGAATGCAAACGGGAATGTCAATTTTACGTAAAATTTACGTTAATTTTTTATCACCGTTTGCATATCACAGAGGTGACATTTCTGCAAACATGTTGACATTTTCTTGACAATGGTTTGCGTAAAAATGATATAACATGGAAAAAAAGTTTACATTCATTTCACGTAAAATTAACATAAACATGCTGTTTGGGTGGTTTTCTTTAAAATAAGCCAATGTCAATCAGATTCAAGAAGTTTCTCATTTGTTCCACCAGCGTTGCTCCAACCATTGAATGGTTGGTGAAACGCTCATGGCTGCTCATTGTTGTCTTACCCTTCATTGTGCTTTTTCCTTTTGATATATGGTGGTCCATAACCACTTGTGCCCTGTTGATTGATCCACATCTAATGGATGCTTTTTCTCCCTGGAAAGTTTCATTACTGAATGCTCATTTTCTGTGTCTGGTGAATATGTCTAAAGAGCCTGGTTTGCTTTAAAATAACCCTATGCCAATCAGATTCAAGAACTTCCTTATTTGTTCTTCAAAGAGTCCATGGACACCTCCGATCCAGTTGAGTAGAAGTCAGCTGATGGACTTTTATTACTCTTATTGGAAAATGGCCGGTTGAATTGAAAGTGAGGAATAGGTTGAGCTCAGCTAAATTTGGAACAGCTCCATTTTATATAAATAAAAGTGCAAGTTGCTTGAGCCCTTTTCGTTCCAATTTCATGTTTGAAGATCTCGCTCCCCTTAGAGGGAAGTTACCATTTGGTTTAAAAAAGTGAGCTAAATCTAAACTCTTGAGCGAAAGTTTGTTACGACAGTCTGCTAATTGGCAGACTCTCCTTATTAAATGGGACTTTCAGTATTGGCATTTTGTCGGAGGAAGTTGTGACTTTCTGTTTGGGACCTTCATCTTGAAAGACTCTGATATTACCTAAGGTAAAATCTCCTAGCTTAGCAGGAATCTCTTAAGTCTGAACCCCGATGTGAAAGATATTTCATGTTAATTCCCTACAGGGTACTGACAAAATGAAGGGTGTGATAGCTTCTTCTATTCCTTGAGAAAATGACTTTCATGGCAACTCTGGTATCCCTGCCTCAGACAGATAATCAAGTTTTGAGTGTGCTTGTGACTCGTACTGGTACAACTTGAGAGTTGTACAACGTTTGATTTGCCTAGTACGATATTGATGCTGATTTTTTTCAAAATTATATTCATTTCATAAAGGTCTGAAATAATATTCTTTGTCTAACTGGCAGGCATGAATGCAGTCGGTCACATGGACGCATTATTCTTGTACTTGACGGCATCCAAGAAGAGGTTATCAGAACAACCACCTAGGACCACTTCCCCACAATCACTGAAAGAACTTCAAATCCGCAGGAATGCTTCAGCTTATCTTAATGAGTACATACATCATTTGCCTTTATTTTTCTCTTTTGTATCCATGAGGCGTATGGCTGTTGAATGAATTACGTACTCTTTTTTTAGTGTTCCAACCTGTGGTCCAAATGGAGACAGAACTGATGTGTCTGGGGGGTTTCATGCCTGAATGCTCCCATATGAAGTATATCACCTATCTTGGGTAAATACAGAAGTTGGCAATACAAACTGACATTTTGGAAAAGGGTTTCAGGGTCAGCTTGTTGCAGATGACAAATGCTTGACAGATTTCAATATTCACAGTTTTCCTAAATGAACCTAATTATTATTATGCTTTCTTACCAAGGAAAGTCATTTCATCAAAATCAGGTGAAACTTATGTAATTATCCCAGGTAGCCGATCTTCATTGGTCCAAGCATGGCATATCGGCAAAGTGCTATACCAAACTTGGTCGGCAATGATAGGCCAATCCCGAAATGTCTCATCAGCCAGCGGATAGCCAATGAATCAGGTCAAGAAATGCCCAATATACAGTATATACAGCATATGTTGTATATCACACATGCCAAATATTGACCATTCAGTCATATTCAAATATTCAGAACCTTCAGTGATTTATTCAGTGCACTTAATATAATACATAAGATGCGCTCAGTCATCATGTAAGTGTACCAAAATCGGTACCAAACATGGTGCTCCTCTCTCTTGTTCTAAAAATGATAGACAAACTTGAACCATTAGTCATCTCCCATTCTCTGGACAAGCTGGAGATGGTTGGAGTTTGAAGCTATTAGAACAACGTTTCATAGTTTTGAGGCTCCATATGGATGAAATCGTCTTACCATAGGATGGGGTTCTTATTGACAGTATGAAGAATATGTTTCTTACTACTAGTTTCCCATATTTTATTCCTCTAACTTAGGAATACAATTACCTTTGCGCTGAATATTATGTTGGCCAATTAATTCATTGCAGCCTTGGTTCCATACTGTGTCCATTTGGCCCATATATGGTGATTTTTAAATATTTGTATGAAAAGTAAACGTGATGTATAACCTTTATCTGATTTATTTTGAGGTGGCTATAGGAGGTGATTTTACCAAAGTTAATGTAATTTATTTTGCGAAGTGAAATATTTATTTTTCAACTTGACTAATTGAAGCTTCCCATCAATGATGAAGTAGCGTTTAAAGCTGAAACTATATATAATATGCTACGGATTGTGAAAAATTTGAATTATGAAATGGAGAATTCCTTTGAAGTGGCCATAGGTCTCGACGCAAGTCATCTAGTGGATTCCTATGATTGTATAGCTTAGGAAAGCATGAATTGCAGGTTTTATTGTAAGTTTGAGTTTTTTTTTCGAAAAACTATTGAATTTTCAACAGCTATTGAATTCATTTGATTAAACATTGGGAACATACGAGGCCCCCCCCCCCCCAAAAAAAAAACTTTCTGGGGTCTGTGAGTTGGAATAACTGCTTTCCAATGACCTTATGCCATTTGGTTCTTTATAGTTCCAGGTATGCCAAATTTTGAGAGGTTTTGTGAAAATGTCTGGCCGTGAGCTAAGGCAAGAGAGATCTAACTCCTTTGTGCAACTTGGACTAAGCCATGAAAATGTTCACACCATGATTTCATACGATTAGTAGCGTGGTTTCACAGCTAAGGCATGCCATGACAACCTTATTTCTGCCTGGGGCAATGATGCTCCATGTCAGAAGACTGTAAATACCTGGATTCGAAATTTTAAGACAGGTTATTTTGGGCTGCAGCTGCACTCTGCAGCTGCCACTGATGAAGCAACTGTTGCTGCCATCACAGAGATGCTGAAGGACAATCCACAAATCACCTATTAAAAACTGCACATGGCCCTAGGGATTGGAAACGCAGCAATACAAGCTATCTTGCACGAAAAACTTCTGTGGAGATCAGTTTCTGCCCGTTGGGTCCCGCATCAGGAAGGACCATGAAAAAGAGGTCCGCATAGAGTTCTGCCAGTTCATGCTTCAAAGATTCGACAAGGGCACTCTCCTGGTGTATATATGATCATGACAGGTGACGAGACTTGGATCTACCATAATGACCCCAAGACGAAGCAGCAATCATTGGTGTGGCTTCCAAGGGTTGACCTCCTCCAAAAAAACTGCACCGTGTCAAATCTGGATTCAAGGTCATGTTTGTCAAGGTCATACCATTTTCCCCTGCCAAAATTGGCTTGGTGAATGTAGTACCACTGGGAAATGAGAAAACTGACTGCCGAGTGGTACACAAAAGTTTACCTGCTGGCAGTGTTTAACGTAAAAAAAAGAGAAGCGGAAGAAGTGCAGCCTAAAGGGGATGATGTTGTATGACAACAACGCCCCAGCTCACAAGCCGAAGGTGACGGCATTTGGGTTTGAGAAATGGATAATGAAAGGTCTGCCACATCTACCATATTCACCAAATTTTGCACTTGTGGCATTTAGCTGTTCATGGGAATGATGCTGGATCTTCCTGGGATGGAGTTTCATGGGGAGGGACAGCTGAAGAATAGCATGGAAGGGGTCCTGGTGTCCATTGAAAACAAGCGTTTCAGAGAGTGTTTTAATAAGTGGTTAAGGCGCATTAAAAAGTGCATCATTCTGTCTGGGGATTATGTCTTAAAGTCATAAATAAGTGATGATTCTGAACCATGAAGCATTTTTCCCTAACATCAATTTATGGCATGGAACCCATAAACTTTTGGGGGACCCTCGTATTGGCGAGCGTTATTGCGAAATGCTCTGTTAACCTTTCCTAAAAGCGATCTGAGGCTTTACAGAAAACATGTTTTTCCTCTCGAGACGTAGTTTTTTCTCATCGTGTTTTATTTTATTCAATACCAAATGTTTCGAGAAACTATTGAATAAGTAGCTCCGTCGATTATGTAGTAAAACAAACATTCCAGAAGTCATGGAAACAAAAGATCAGACGAATTCTACTTCAGTGCTGCAGTGCTTCAGTTCTACTTCCACTTCAAATACTATTCACAGCATATTTCGCCGGTTTGAGACCGCAATCACAGTGCCTGAGCGAGGCCAATTTCATTTCACTCCCTCAGTCGGTGTTTAGACCGACGAAAATATTGATACTAGTTACAAGTACAGTTGACGGTCGATATAACGAACCACTATACAGGGTCCCCAACATTGTTGGTGCATTTAAGAAATTTACAATACTTCTCGACAAGCAATACAGATAGAAGTGAATCGCATGAAGCACAGTAAAAAATTTTACATTAATATTCACAAATACTTTTCAGTCAACACGCATGGGCACCGTTAGTCGCGCATAATATGTCGAACCAAAATTCAATTTCACGCCAGGTATTCTGGCAGTAACTGTGGAGTGTGCATCACGTATTCGGCGCTTAAGTTCATTAATATCCGAGACTTTGGCTCAAAAGATGGCATTCTTGACATAACCCCACAAAAAGAAATGAAGTGGGGTGATGTCAGGTAACCAAGGGTCCAACTCCTCCGATTCAACGACCTGGAAGTCTCTGGTACACAGTAGAAATGTTCGCCTGCCCCGGCCAAAGTGTGAAGTGCCATCCTGTTGGAAGGTGACATATCGTTTCAGGTCATTTCCCAGCCTGTCCCTTGGAGTTCGTTGTATCAAACGTCGACTGTATATGAATGTTAGCACACTGAGCTCCCCTGACGTAACAAAAACGGAGCGAAAGCAAGATTTAGAAAGTGATGTGTCAGAGTGGGATCTCCCATGCAAATATGAGACTCTGACCCAATATATTTCCTTGTCATGGTGCGATCACATCAGAGTAATCTTTCACTCCTTGTGGAAAGTAAATGGCTGAGTGGATGATGAAAGCCTTCCTCACTACGGTGGCAAAAATGAAAGTTTTGCTTTAATGTCAAGGTAAACCGGTCCAATCTAGAAGCATCGACGTGCTCCAGCTTCATGGAGTTTCTTTTCCAATCACGTGATCTATGAATGCAAGTTCCAAATAGAAATTTCAGGCACCCAAGTGTTTATCTCATGAGTGTCAAAGCATAAACCGGAAAATGTTGACTCTAAGGGATGCTTACTTTCCTTTAGTATCTAGTCTGACGTTTTGTGAACATTCTCTGTTTCAGCACGAAGCGTCCTTGACATTGGTGCCTTTGCTATCGGCATCTCACAAGCAATTTTGCTCAATGGAAATTCGTGTATGTTTCCGAAACCATGACGGTCTCATAGCTGTTGTTCTTTGCACTCAGTAGTAACCTTTACAAAGTATATCCGTTTGGTCAGCTGAACAAAGGTGCACTCCACTGACTGAGATTGCTTCAGCGCTATACCGGAAGTACCTCTAAATACTGCTAACGCTCACTTAGTCTTTGAAACCCAAAGCTGAAGTACTGGCGAGTCTGGTTAAATACTTTGATGCAGTCCTTCCTGTCATTTTGGTAGATTCGCGACAGACTAGCTCATCAATTTGTAAGGAGAAATTCCGAGTCTTGAGTATATCCAGTACCTACGATGATCGATGTCCATGAGCGCCCTACTCTTCTTCTGACACGAGTCAGGAGATACTCATGTATATCAGACCTTTCTTGAACTTCCCAGAAAATATCTCGAGATAAGTCAATCGGTGGCTCACATGCTTCTATCATATTCACGAATTTGGCTGAGGGAGGAGGGAAATGACGTCTTTCGCTCTTCCGAGTACGCTTCACGAGCTGCAAACTACAGGCATTCTTAAGTGCCACTGATTTCTGTGCGAAAATGGTGGTTCTAGAAGTCTCTCTCCTGATTAAGTACTTTCGAAACGACTTACATTGCCAGAAGCTTCAGGAACGTCCTGGAATCGATGGAATTTTGCAGTTTGGGAATGATGTGTTCATCCCACCAATGCTCAATGGCCTCCTCTGACTTGAGGTCTTCTTCGCAAAGAAAGGCGGTTGGTGGCGACGAGTCACAAAGTGGCTTTTCTTTAACCTCATCTCTTCTTACATTCACAAGTGCTATTACACAGAGTGAGACGTTTATGTCGTCCACTCCACTTTCTTGAATGGCAGCTTTCAGGCTGTTCACGTCTTTCTCGAGCTGTCCCTCAGCTGCCTTAATGCTCCTCTTTATGGCATTCTTGCGTTTCATGTCTGTTTTCATGGATTCCCGATTCCCCGCTGTATTGCAGTGTTCCACCTGTGTCAGCTTGGAATCCGAATTCTTTTCTGCATTGCTAGGTTTTTCCTCGCTTGGCTTGGTATCCAGATTCTTCACCTGCATGAATACTGCTCCAAGTTCTCTATGTATCAAGACGATATCGTGTTCTCCCGTCAGGATGCCCTCTGAGGCACCACCTACATCCTTCCTTTTGATGAGGTGGGCAAAATTACGGTTATAGGTAATGAACATTGGCAACTGTTTCCTTTTTCCAAGTTCATACAAACTCAGAATAAGAGATCTCTCGGCTTTTATCCCTGAATCATGCTCAGCTTTCTTGATCCACTCATCCCTGTCTTCGACATATGGGACCAAGTGAGTTGTTTTTTCAGTTTCCCATTCACGATACGTTTTCTTGATGAATTGTTCAGCTTGATATAGCCATGTTGTTTCCTTGGCTGGTTTACTTCGGTCAATTCTGGCCACAACTGGAATGAAAGCATACTAAATGTAGCTCAGAGTCGGTTGCTTACGGGCATTTGAGATGGAAGAGGAAGAAATCGGAGTATCGATTCCGTCGCAATAAATTTAATATTGAAGGAGTGAAATTACTTATAATTCAAATTACACGAACTCATTTTCGCAACGAAGAAGACCCATGAAATCGTTACTTTAGTCCACACACTAGCAGCTCTAATTTCTGAGCTTGAGTCGTGAAGTTCCGCAGTTTCGTAAAATATTCCAACTCTGAAATAAGTATACTGTAGGCACCGTAATCACTAATGACAATAATATGTTTTAATGGTCATTGATACTTGTAATATTCATTACAGTGCATTCAGTATACTTCAGCAAATTCTTATATCGATGGCAAGAGAGACAATAGAGAGCATCCCTCGAGGAAATGTTCACTTCTGGTCACCGGTGACTCGAGTACTTCGCTAAAGCACTTGGGGAAATGGATTTTTGGAGACTGAAAATTAGGCATGTAAACTTCCGACAGCAATTCGAAGGTGCTTCAAGTCCTGTCAGCAGATGGCTAGCAATACGTTTATTTCTTCTGAATAATTCTCCAGGTAATTCCTGTATTTTTCTCCGATCCCAAATTTTTCTGGCAGGAGGGTGAGATGAATCCATTTCCTTTTCTTTAGTTGCAGCGCTACGATGAAGGAATGGAATGAGCTAGATTTACACTTCAAATAGTTTTAAAGTTTATATGACATTTTTAGTTAATAGAAATCAAAATCAATGCCTTGACCTTTCAGATATGCTGGAAAAATATAAACGCAATACCAGTCCCTGCGGGCAAACTGCAGATTTGAGTCGTGAAGCTGTCAGGATCAACCTGGAAGTGGCCTGACATGGATTACACTCTGGATTCTTAGCATGATGTTCTTTTTCAAAATAAATCAACGAAACTCACTAACACCAGGGGAATGCGTGCGGCGTCAGATATTGTTAAGCGCAGAAACAAGAACATTATGAACAACAGGTTACACATATGTGAAATGGATGGGGTCCATACAATATCCCCAAAAAAGTATTTAGCGCAGAACTCTCACAATGCCGAATGTGCTTAACCTTCAGCGACTCTGACCACGAAATAATCCGACGCCTATATAATTCATATAAGAAGAGTATGTGGACCTCCACACCCATACGTTTAACCGGGACGAATGAAAAAAACGTGTGCAATATTCAATGAAAGAATGGCTCGAGGTCCCTTTTGAACTCCGACATACGGAACGCTGCGTTCCTCGCAGACCAGACAGCCCACCTGCTCTCGGGGGTGTAGGGGAGTGGAATTAGTATGTAAATTCGTGTCCAATCAAGAACGCTTGGTTTTGAGATGAAAGCTGAAAATATGTCCCTTTGATGTCAAACTCACCTCCCCCCCTGAATAATTTTTTAGCCTTCTGGACTACTGAGAGAGGAAGAAACAAAAGAGAAACGTGATGTCAGCTCTCGCCATTTGCTAGTCAGTCCATAGTCGCAATCTTGCTCCCTTTTCCTACCTGTGCAGCGCCGAACTATTAATAGTTTCACACGAACACTCCTGTCTGGGTGCCATATTTATTACAAGAATTTGGGCGCAGCACACAATGATATTCATTTATTCTCTTACTCGGCACAGGTCACCGTATGAGCGGACCCATAGACGACCTACAAGATTACACAGGCGCACAGATCCCTGACGGTCGCCGTTATAGTGCTTTATATGTTCGAAGGCGTTAGCCGCTTCATTGTGCCTACCATAATGAGACGCGTCTGTTGTCTTGTGTCCATCGCATGTCGCGTTATCAAACGGTGATATGAGAAATAAGTTCCCTTGAACAAGTCGAGCGGAGGGTGGCTATATATGGATCTTGACAGAACACGATACCTGGCTTAAAGGACGAAGCAGGTACCCGCAAGTTGCCATTTTCCGAGTATAATCATTCGGAATAAATCCTACAATTATTGGAGGCATTGTGGCAGGGAATAGTCCGTGGAACAAAAATATCTGGAACTCAGGGTTTTTCTTTCTAGCAACCCCCAAATAATCATGGGGGAATTTGAGCATTCATTCTTGGCATCCGAGTGAAACAAATATTGAATATTGAATGTTGAATTATTCCAGTAGATCGTTAACTGCAATTCCTTTATCGTGTTCTCGGATTGAGAAAAAAATGTGAATCAGTTCACAAAAGTGCTTTTTGCTGGCTGCTTTTGCTGATTTGGGTAGGGGAAAGTGACTGTAGGTGATTCTGCATGATTTGACTGTAGAATTATGTTTTACGCAGTCACAGTTCGAGAAGCAATGGTTTAGAAAAATAATTCATTATGGGTGCAACGTGTTTCCTTGAAGCGGTATTAACAGCATCGCGGCACTAGAGAGATTCTTATGTCGGAAAAATAACTTCAAATGCCGGATGTTTTAACCCTTCGAAATCCAAACGGATGGCGAACTTTCGCAATCGTAATTTTTTTGCTGCTGATTGCAAATTCAGATGGCTTTTTACAAAATCTTGTCCTTCATTTCATCCCAAGCAAGTAATGGCAACATTGATGGCATAATACTTTGCTTGCTGGAAGGACGTAACTTTGCATGCCGGAACCTAAAAAGGATTTCGGCATTTAAGTTTTTTTTTTTACGAGCAACTGCGATGAGCGCATTGGGCGCATAATTTCGGGAACTGCATTTTAAGTAGTCTGTCAGAATAGAATTTGCTGGCATTGGTTTATTACACCCCAAATAATCATACTCCTGCACAAGCTGGAATGGAAAGTATGTGGGACATGGATTTTGAACGATATATATTTTGTTCGAAAAGGACGATAGATGTCGGTGCAATCTTAAAAACATGGCGACTACTAATGAGGTAGTGAATGAGTTGCATGTTGAGGTGAAGTTCTTTTTGGAAGTGGTAAGATTCCGTGGTGAATTTATATTCCTGTGTCATTCCACGGCGAGAAGGACAAATGCATCAAAATTTTAAAACAAGTGGGCTATTCAACAGCATATATCGCCACAAAGAGTGCATCCTAAATTACCCATAATTCTTGATTTTCATCATCTTGGCTGCGATGTCATGGAACATTGCCATTTTGAATTTGAGGTATTCAATATGGGCATTCTCACTCTTCAAAGTATACATTTTCCTCTAGATTTCTTGAAGATGTTACCTAGGCAAGAGCTGAAAATATGGAGGGATGTAACATATTATGTGTTTCTTCAAAGGATTAGTCTCATCTTCAGCTAGTAATGCTAATGAATATTCTGTGACATCTTGAAGATTAATTGGTTTTCATGTGTAACATGAGTCACGAAAATTTTCATTTCCATTGCTACTACTCTGTCATAGCTTTCACTGGCAAAATGCTGCTGGTTTTTTCTAGCTGCACATTAGTCCTATCTATCGAAATACGACTCGGACCATGAATAGCACTGATGCAATATCCATTGGTTACGCACTTTAGTAATGTGAGTCAAGAGTGGCACGAGTCACACAGTGATCGTTTTCTTTCCGTACATTGATTTATTGAGTACGTGAATAAAAGAATGGAATGACGTGCTGCTGAAAGGCAGAAACGGAGGAGAGAAATGTAGAAGCAAGAAGGGAAGTACTATGAAAGTATCATGTAGTGGAACCACAGAGTTCACCAAAAAAGATAAGCCACTCCAAACTTTGCAATAAAACCCATATTTTAGAACGGATTGATTTCAAAACTTAAAGGAACGTTGCCTAGCATGTTCTTCAATTTGTGTTTAAATGTTAAGTGGCTCCAATTTTTCATAGCAGATTCTGCTTAAAGTAATAAAATGTTGTGTGAAAAGGATCGCTACTGGTATTGCGAGGCACAGATCCACATTTGAATTTTGCTTTAAAAATCTATTCCTGAGTGAGCAGAGATAAGTCTTTACAAGATGTCGCCTAAAGCGAGCTCTTCGCCATCTGAAAATTTATTATTTGTGCATACATTTAAGGAATTTCGGTGCAAATGTGGAATCGTCCCTCGCAGCGGCAGTGGCATTCAAAATATTGAGAGTGTTCACTCAAAGTTTTGAAAGTTTAACCATACCAAAACCTACCATACCTGGAAAAAAGGAAGTAACAGACGCATGACAAAAAACTTGTAAAACATATTAGATAGCGTTCCATTAAATTTCGAAGTCAATCTGTTCAAAAACATTGATTTGATTGTAAAATTTCGAGTGGCTTATTTTTTTGGCCACCCCTATACATGCTACTGCCCCCATACTACTATTTGAGTGTCTGGGTCGAAATTTGAACTGCTTCGATGACTGAACATGTTCTCATGCCGTTCATTCATCATTATTCCCTTCTTGCCTCATCTTTTCTTTCTCTGTTTCTGTCTTTCAGCAACACTTTATTGCATTTTTTTAGTAACACACGAAATCAATGTAGAGAAGGTAATCAACACTGTGACTCATGTCATTCACGACTCACGTTACGAAGTTGCACACTTAATGTATATTGTATCGATGCAATTTATGGCTCGAGTCCTATTAAGATGGATTGGAATCCTGAATAACTAATAATGACCAACAGCATTAACCCGTGAAAGCAAAGACAGAGTATTGACAGTTAAAATGACAAATTTTGTTATTCATGTTACAAGTGAAAACCCATTCAACTTCAAGACGTCGGAAAAAATATTTGTTTGCATTGGTATTTGAGGATAAAAACGACTTCTATAATAAGTCTAGAAATGTAAAATTACCGGTAAGAGAGAGGCCATTACTTACCATAAATTTGCAAGTAATTTACCATTAATTACCGATATTTTACCGATGTATTACCACTAGGTTACTGGTGCTCCTAAAGTGACATTTCAAGAAAAAAAATTTTCAGTCTTAATACCCTCTTTTGCAACCCATGTATAGCTAAAGCAACATCCCACTTATGAAATATTCAGAGAGACCAGCTTTGGCAAGGAACTAGGGTTGCGGATACAGAGAGTGCTAGTGAGCCATTCCATGCGAACTCATCCAGGCCTTGCGCTCAATCGATTTCGATCGGGAACGAGGGTCAGGGCAGGTATTACGTATAGCTCCGTTTATGGCAGTCCCCTGGCTCCAAACTGGAAAAGTACATCTTCAATATGGGAAAGCCTGCTTTCTGACACCAACATTTACGATCAGGTTCAGAGACTGTATTATCAGTGACTTTGGTCAAAACAGGGAAAATGAATGTCAGAGTGAACTGTGAGACTGCTGTTCTTGGCCTATTATGCTTCCTTGACAGGGCCTGTCCGTTAATTTTATTTCGGAGTCACAGCCAACTTTCAAGTTGCACAGAACTTCACATTCCAATCATCACCATCATGAGAATAGTTTACCAGGGAAAAAAACCTGAAGAGGCTTTACTGTGAGCAAAAGAAGTACCTGATATTCATGACCAGAAATCGGGCGGCGGGGAATGCCGACATTTTGTAGCTCAAGAATTTCCAAGCGACGGCGCTTTACTCATGGCAATGCATACTGCTCTGAGAGACAACTCAAGGAATATATTACACGACTGTTCAGTCACTCCACCAAAAATTTCATTAGTTGAGGCTGCAACTTGTGGAAATTTGTTAACTTCCTTTCCTCATGAAAGGCACTCATATGTATTTCAGAAGATCTCGAGGCTCACCTAGAGAAACTTCCCGTGATACCGTAAGTGCTTCTCCACATCGAAAAATACAGGACTAATGATGACTAAAAATGAGAATATTCCAACTTTAAGACAATTATTTCTCTATATAGCTGACAAAAAGTCAAACAAGTAACTTGCTTTATCAATGCAACCGAAAGACGAGTGCAGCTCACCCTAACGAGAGATTTGCTTTTTTATTTAATGATCAAAATTGCGTAAATTTCACCTTTTCGAACTCAAATATGACGCCGAAATCTCATTCAAACTCCAAGGATGTATGGACATTATTGTTTATCTATCGAAGAGCTCCGATTCGAGCAATTGCACACTTCCGTACGAAGAAAGACTCTTGTGGATCCTTCTTGTTTTTGGCATTCTAAGCGCCAAAACGAGCCAAATCTGGAAAATGCTTAAAAAGTAGACGTAATATATGCTGGCAGGATCCCGTCCTTTTCTACCTTCTGGCCATCATTAACATTTCCTTCACTAATGAGGCGCTCTCATGGCTCCATATGACTCGAAAAATTTCCAAATCTTCAGGGCACTGGAACGGGACCTGAAAGGCAGGCATTTCCTCTCGGACGACGATGTAAAGGAAGCATTTACGGATATTCTGTAGCACCTGGTACAGACGTTATACGACAGCCTACAGCGGCTTTTGACACATGGGATAAGTGCCTCAACGCCGGCGGGGCATATGCTCATATATATGTCATGGTATGTATCCAGAGTACCCTGGCCCACTTTCATTTGACTGGCTCTTGTAGAAGCAATTTTAAAATTCTTACCTTCACTTCCATATGAGCAGTTGAGTTCGGCATAAACTTTTCCTGGTAGCTCATCTTGAGGGCTAAAGAGCCAAAAGTATCCTTCGGCATGATCCAAGTAAAGGTGTCGAAGATCTTGATACCAGAGATCATTATAATTCTTATTGAGTTCATGCACACCAAGCACAAAAATGTGATCAAATTTCTTCCCCTCTTCTTGAATCTTTTGCAGTTTCGGTATATGAAGCTTTATTACTTTTGTAGTATCCCTACTTTCTTTATTACTCTGCACTTGGTGCCTTGAAACGTCGCATATGCAAGGTTCGTTAGTTATTATTGACTCACTGCTAGCTGCAGGTTCTTCCTTAGAAATTTCATCATCTCGTCTAGTTTCCTCATTTATGATATCAATGGATGGGAGGGCACAGAAGGTGAGGCATCTCTGAATCACTGTGGAAACCATATTTCCCTTTTCTTCCAAAGACTTGCTGGTCCATGTAGAGTATGTAGCCATTGCAGATCTTCCGATCCATTCTGGCATCGTTTCACTCAGCTCTTCCATGGCATTTTCAGTCGAACCAAGCACGAGAATATGTTCTGCCTCAGTGATTTGTCTCTGGGAAAACCATTTCGTTATGATGTTCCGGGCTTTCTCTTTCATCAGCTTCATTGTCCGAGTTTCCGAGGCTTCGTTTATGATGCACTTGGTCGGCTCCAAGACGAGAAATTCTAGTTCCCTCTCTGTGAGAAACTGGAACCCTGCCTCCTCATTGTCCAAGACTGCAGTCACATACACAGGTGCCCCAAATCTTCAAGAATGAACAGAGAAATTAATTACTTTTAAGATTTAAATGATATATAAGTATACATATTCTGAAGGGGATTGTAACGAAAATATCGGATGCACTGTTGGAGGAGTTCAACTTTTGGGCTCTAGAGGAATTGGAGGAATGACTTGCATGGACTGGATTAACGTGAGAATTCATATTATAGTTTAGATTTGTTGTCAGAGATAATTATACTGTTATACCACAAACTACAGCTGTGAACCAGATTCACCATGTATTTTAGACGTGGTATGTACAGCTGGAATGGACAAGCCAATGGGGAACGCACCGCATTCGCACTGCAATTAGAAGGTGCGGCCGCCATCTCTCATGCTCTCAGGCAATCCAAGGAACGCATAGCTTTCCGCATTATCACTTCACACCCTACACGAGTTTAAAGGTTTACCGTAGTATTGGATGTTTCATTTAACATTGGATTGAAAGAAGTGCATTACTTCGTTAGAAAAGAATCAGAGTTCAAATGAGATGATACAGTAGACATCGTTGGGGTAGCAAAAGTACGCTGCACAGGGTGGTCCATAAGTCTGTATAATCCTAACGTGAATATTATTATGGTATGGTGATTAATGCAGGTGCTTTATAAATTTGACAAGTTGACCGCCATGGGGAGCATCGGTGCGCCCCGTGTTTCACCTTTTCCAGGGGAAGAAAACATTTTTGGGGGGCCAGGAAAGTCACCATGCCAATATGACCGTGGCGGTCGACGTTTTCAGGAATTCAATGCGAACCTGATCGTAGGGGGGGCGTTCCTCCTCACCCCCTCACCTGGATCCGCCTCTTCCTCTTCTATTTTGAAGAGATTTTGAACCCGGTCTCACTATTTGTTGCACCTTGCAACGTAGAACCAACTCTTTGATGTAACTGTCGCTTCCCATACCGTTATTGTGTCACCCCATAAGTCTACCAATTTAAATAAAATCGGTAACCCACAAAGAGATTGACAACTCACCAAAAATGACAGCTTTGTTTTTCTTTTGGCTCACCCTGTATACCTAGACGATCCCAAGTGAGTGAGTGACTGATGCTAATTCTAACCATGTTGAAGAGAAGTTAGACATCTGAAACTTGGTACACAATTATCTATTGGAATTTAAAGTTCAGATAAAAAATCCGACTTTGGAGGTGCATGCCCTGGGGCACCTAATTTTGGGAGAGATGTTTTCAAGGATATATATTTTCTTCAATCAAACGAAGAGACATGAAAGTTGAAACTTGGCATGAATGTACTAACTGAGACACTAAATTCAGGTCTAATAGAAAGTTTCATATCCATGCCCAGGGAGAATTTTTGGGGATTAACGTTTCCAAATAATTTTTTTTCTCCCAGCAAATGAAAAGAAATAGAAAGGTAAAATGTTTAATATGTTTAATATGTTTAATATGTTTAATATACCTATTGAGATCCTCAGTTCAGAAAAATCGAAACTTTGGAGGTAAATACCCTGGGGGCAAAAGTCAATGGAATCTGTTTAAAAATAATTCTATGCTTCAAACGGATACACTTGGAAACACCTAAACTTCCATGTAAGTGAATATTGAGACAGGGAATCCAGGAAAAATGTCAAGTTTTTTTTAATACTTTTCATCCTTGCCTATTTTTTGAGAAAGACGTTTTCAAAAAATTTGTTTGACCTAGCGAGTTGGGTCAAACTTGGCTCATACATAACTGAAGTGATGCTGAGTTTAGAAAAAATTCAACTTTTGTGGTGCTCACACTTAGGACAGGGTTTTGGGCTCGGCCGGCTATTCACTTCACGTTTTCCTTTCTAACTCCTACCAATGTGATAAAAATCCTCGAGCCATGAGCCTTTTTTATTGTGGCCTCATGTTATTTCCGGTGGTGTGAAATCGACCTCCCATGTTTAATATTTGTATGCTTCCATGCAATTAAACAATTTATTTTAAATATGTCCCTCTCGAAAACCGTGCCCTGAGAACCCTGAGATGAAACAGAAAATAAGAAATACCATGAAATCAGAATGTGGCTGAATTTTGCTTTCCTCAGTTCCTGTTTTCGCCAGTGGAAAAAATCTCAGAAATGATTGCCCCTAAAATATAGTCCCTTAGGGCACATACCTTAAAATTGTAGTTTTCAATAAAGTAAAACCCCAAGAATAAATTCATTTCAAAAGACAGGTTTTCCATTTCATTTTGCTATCTGGCTGTAGCGAAAATGTATTTCGGAAAAATATTTACATCAGATATTTTGCCCTGAGGTTAAGGATATTGAAATTAAGTTTTCCTGGGCATGATAGCAACTTATTTTGTGCCAAGTTTCATCTTTACTTTGCCCGATTCACTGCAGTAAAACAAATTCCTGGAAATCGTTTCCCCATTAAAAAAGAAACTTTGTTGTATCTGAAATGCGAATTTTTCCTGAAATCAGTATATGAGTAGGCACGTCTATACCTATTTTCGTATTTCCATGTCCATCTGTTTGACTGAAGCCAAGAATTCATTGAAGAATGCCCCCCCCCCAAAAAAAAATATATATATATCTAATATATGTAGATGTTCGTGACTAACGGCCTGACTGACTGACGCTAATTCTAACCACGTGCTAGAGAAGATAGAAATCTGAAACTTGGTACACATTTGCCTACTGGGATGCAGAGTTCAGAAGAAATCCGACTTTGGAGGAACATGCCCCAGGGGTACACATTTTGGGGGAGAAGTCCCGGCTGTTTCTTGGCGTTATTTCGGCCTCTTATGCTTTCCAAGTCGCATTACTCATGCCCCCTCCGTAACAATATTTTTGCTTAATTAAAACGGAGACATGGAAAGCTGAAACTTGGCATGGACATGCCTACCGAAAGGATGAGCTCAAGAAAAATGTAAAATATATTATCCATGCCCCGTGGGGCATATTTTTAGGGGCCGACGTTTTCACACATTTTTTTCCAGACATATTCAGCTAGTGTGGAAAGATGAAACTTGGTACATACCTATTGGGATGCTGCGTGCAGAAAAATTCAGACTTTGGAAGTAAATGCCCTGGGGGTACAAATTTCAAAGGGAGATGTTTAAAAAATTTTTTTTTTGCATCAGTTAAACTGATGAACATGGAAAGCTGAAACTTAGCATGAATGTGACTACTGAGACAAGGAGTTAAAGAAAAATGTTAAGCCTCGACACATCCCCGTGGAGGAATTTTTTCGAGGGCAATGTTTTGAAAAAAAATTGTCGTGGTGAATTGGACAAAAATGGAAAGGTGAAACTTGGCACACATATAAGTGACATGATATTACTGAGTTGAGGGGGTATTCAGCTTTCATGGTGCATCCCCTCCGGGCATAGTGTTAGGGTATGTTGGCTTTTCCAAACATGTTTTTTCATTAGCGAAAAGGGAAAACATATAATATTGAAACTTTGTGGGCATGTATATGTATTTCACTTAGGATGGATTTCGTAATTTAAAGTATGGTACTTTCGGTTAAAACGCCTGAGGGCACATATATTCCAAAATGCGTATTTTCTCGATCCTGCAAAACAGAGTGCGCTAGAAAGTTCAAACTTGCCAAAGAAGAACTTGATGGATAACTGAGTAAATAAAAAATTCTACTTTTGTTATACTGTATATAGACTATCGTGAGTAGCTGACCGACTGACATAAGTAGCTATTCGCATAATTAGGAAAAATTCTACTTGGGTGATACATGCCATAGCGGCACACCTTTTCGGTAAACATATTTTCAAATAGTTCTCTTTGCTTCAATCAAACGGCGACACATGGAAAGCTGAAACTTGGCAAGAACGTGACTGCTGACGCACTGCGCTCAAGAAAAATGTCAAATTTCCAAAATATTGGATTTTGGGGGGGATATTTATTGGGGACTTTACTTTTTCCAATAATTTCTCATATCGGAGAGAATCGGGCAGAAATAGAAAAGTAGCAGCTGGCACACGCATAACTGACGTAACGTTGATTTAAGGAAAAATTCAGCTTTTGTTGTGCATCTCCACAAAAGCACAGCTTTTCGGTGGGTCTCATTTCCAAATACATTTTTATCGCCAGCAAAAAGGGGAAAGTTATGAGGCTGAAATTGGGTGACATGGAGTTCCCTGAGTCTACATTTCAGAAGAAAAAGTAATTTCCGTTAAAGCACATCAGGGCACTTTTTTTTCAGTCACGTTTTCCCTAATTTGTTTAGTGAGCCACTGAAACAGGGACAGAAAATTTAAAATCCCTCGAAAATCCCTATTTGATGGCTGAGTACAAGAAAAATTCTACTTTTGAATTATGTCCGCTTAGCACAAATTGTAGGAGGGAAGTATTTCAAAATGCATTCTCCACCCTTACAAGTAGGGACACAAGAAAATATTTCAAGTTAGGCACACAGAATTATATAAGTAATGATTTTGATTTTTAAAAAATCAAGACTTTGGAACCCATATGTCACACATTTCAATGGAGACGTACGTTATATACGTGTTTGCCATTTTGCAAAGAATAAAAGAATTAATCATTATCCCAGGTAATGTAGCGCCGATGACCCGATAATAGCGAGTTTGTTTGCCCTTCGGGCAAACAATCTCGCTAGTATATATATTTTTACAGCCCAAACAAGGGGCGCAATGTTTAGAGCTTTCAGGCGCTTTCGGCTTGAACATCGGCTGGAAGCGAACAATCAGAACATTTCATTCGTCATATGATAGCCGTTCTCTTATGCTATACAGAGATGGTAGCATCGTGCCTTCAGCTCTTTCCATCAGAAAAATATTACCTTTCAAAGTTGGGCAACGCATTGCGCCGGTTTTATGGCTCATCCACTCACTAGCAAAATTGACAACTTTAGCCTTAGCATCAGTCACTCAGAGATCCACTAGGAAAGGGCTTTCTCTCTTCAGGCAGACTTCCAACGCTTCCATAACTGTTGCACAGCTTCATGTTATGTTCTTATCTCTAAGAATTTTTTAAATCCCATCATACCTTTGATATAGAGGTGAGGAACAAGGATCGAGACGTGAGTTATCTCTACGCCTGTTAAATTATTTATTTTTCAAATGTATTGATATAACGAGATAATATGTTCTTACATAGCCAATAGGGTGAGGTGAGCTTCTGGCTTCAATTTGAATTTTTTCGGCTTCTGATTGATGTGTTTGTTCCACCAAGTCTCAAAATGTTCTTGGGACTGGCACTGTTCTTCATACAGAACCAAGGCATTTTGAGATTGCTTTTCTTCCTTCCGAACCCTGGGAAATGCAATGATGGGAAAATGAAGAGAGAAGCACTCATTAACCTGTTTTCTTTTCTTCATGCCAGCCTCCATCATCAAGGCTTTTAGATGATCGAAGTCTCTCTTTGCAATGTCACATTTTTCTTGAATGAGTAGAAACCTCGGATCACCAGTTTGTTCTTGCTGCTTCTCATCAAGGTAGTTGACCTTCAAGAAGAAGAAACCCCGGTGCCTATCTATGATAATTATGTCATGATCACATTCCTGAATCTTTTCCAATCTCTCGTATAGTCCGCCATGAAAGCGACATTTCACCAATTGCTTCATGTTTCGACTATAGACAATGAGCATGGACTCTCCATGTTTCTTCCCAAACTCAAGCAAGAAGGAGACAAGAGATGAGTGAGTGCCGTCACCTAGTGGTGGGACGACTCGTGTGAATGTTTCCCAATCTGGAAAAGTTTTTGCAACGAACTCCTTTGCAGCCCTCAACCACTGTGAACCTGAAGTCATTTCAAGCGACATTTCAGTCATCATGTAAACCAAAATTTCCGCCAAATTTTGGATCCTTCTTATCTAGATGTCGATGTTATTTGACGCCAACGAGTCAATGATTCAAAGATTGTTTAGACCAAATCTTGAAGTTCTATCATGAAATTGTGAACATCCTCGTTTCAGGCAGTTTACATACCTAAAGCACGTATAATATTCGCTTGTCATTGTAGTCAAGATATCGAATACATTCAATGAAGAGCATGTCCCACCTGCACAATCGAAGAGAGACGTAAGTAAATGTATGAGTATAATATGAGAAAGTTATTAATTACTATATACACATAAGTACAGTGAGTAAAGAAAACCATGCTATTTACCGTAACCAAATGACCACACATTACTTAATGTGAAATAATCATTTCGCAAAAAAAAGAAAAAAATGAATAATCCATGAACTAACAACGTTGGTCCCTCGCGGAGTCGTCCTGCGGTTCCGCGTTGGATCAACTTCAAATGCTTAAGCCCGGCATGATATACAGGCGATTGAAAGAGGTTTCGAGTGAGATTCCATGTTTATACTTAATTCTTTAGGTCCTTCTGCGGGACCTTCCCACCATGTCTCTCTCGGTCTGGCAGGAAGTACTCCTGGGAATAATACTGACATCGAGTGTCAAATTTTGAGGACTTCACTTTCCAAACGGGATTTGGGCCTCATTGTTATCTCATTAATAACAAATGTGGGTATATTCCCGCTTTGGAACAGCTTGTCCAGTGAGAATATTGGGTGATCATTCCCTTTATAACACCCGAATCCAATAACCCATGAAGGGGAGCCCGACGCAGCCTTTACAATAAAATAAGAACCGATATCCTTCATCTGCACCCTGTAAAGGAAGCCCCAATTTCAATTATGCCTCCTCCACGATTAACAGGAGTCTCCTTTGAATACTTAACTCATGCCCGGTATGTTTCTTGCGGAAGATTTTCCACAAGCGCGCGAGGTCGTGAACAAATTGACTATTATTCCTTCTTATGTCATTTCTTTGACAATTTTTTTTGCAAATAACAGGGGAAATTTTCACATAATTATTGGGAATATAGGTCAAAATGCAAACGAGATAGAATCAGTTTTCACTGCGGAAGTTTGTCGAAAAAAACCGGAGGGGTCGTCTTTTATAATTGATCCGTCTCCGGGGAGAGAGGTGGGTGTTTCGCACAGGAGGATATCGCATCCCTTGAATATAGCATCGAAATCAATTATGCACAATCCGGTTGACATAAATAAATAGGAAATATTTCCCGGAACACCACACATGGATACCCCAAGCCTTCCACCGAAATATTGTGTTCGGAGAAATCTGCTAGTGAGTACCTCGTATTGCGAAAGTTGAATCTCAGGCTGAAGCCAGCCTCAAAAGACAACATTGGCTCCCATTATTTTTATTAGCCATTCCTAAAATTACAATTCGGCATCTCTTCAGCTTTTTTACATATAACTCCACACAAGAGATTTGGAGTAGGGCATCACTCCCATCAGGAGAAACAATCACTGATAGGCACTAAGCTCCAGATTCTGTCGCGGCAGCTCCCACAATTTTCTCCATGCTTCTTATTCGTCTTTTCTTCATTTTATGAGACACAGTTCAAGCTTAGAGAGCTCCTCACTGTACTTTCTAGTCAACCCTCTACAAAATATGAAGATATTCCAATGCCCCATGTAAGAGATTGTCAGATATTATCCTGGGATTTTACTGAAGCAAACTACAGTAGATGAGGGCTAACCTGTTCAAACATATTAACTGAGAAATTCATGTGTCTTCCCTTTCGTTTGCTGTAGGAGAAGATGAAGTACTGCATGAAAAGAATCGATGTATTATAATTAGTGAGTCACTCCCGGGTACCATCAGTGGTATCATGGAGTGAGTCGTTAATTATTATAAATTATCATTATAATCAAATATCGTAAATTATAATTAACTTTTAAAAAGCAATGGTTATTACAGAGACGCCATCTCCGATCGGTTGCGGGATGCTTTTCGTTCAAATAATGCAGATTGATGTCCAGACGTCATATCCAGAGATATGACAAATTTTGAATGCCGTCCCAGCGCCGATGTAGGGCCACACTTCCCCACTCGCAGCCACCATGGGCTCGATGTTGATACCTGGGTGGCCTGGATGAAACCGCATTGTCAGCGCCCTAAATAGCACCATATGCATTTGTCTATCTTGTCCTGAGTTACATTGCGCTCACTCTCTTCCTTCCCTCTCTGATTCAGGCATTGCAAGAATTCATCAGCAAAGCTACCGTTGGGTGCGCCATTGCGTCGCCTCAATGAAGTTAGTTAGAGCTATCCTCATTTTAAACGTATGTTTCAATAATTGTGCTGATTTCAATAGAATATACTGAACTGCATGACCTTGGTAGCTCTTATTCCTAAATATCGAGATGTTTGGGTGCTAAATGTAAATTGTGCTGAAGCGGTATTTAATTACTAACCGTACATAATTATTTGCCTCGCTAAACGACGTCCCACTTTTTTCGGTCACGATTGTCCCACATTCACAAAACATTCCAGAAGACGTCCTGATTGGTAAAGCGAAAAGGAAATCGCAGAGCTTGGAAACAGAAAGCATAAGAGAGTGAGTTTCACTGGATTGCATCGTTCACAGAACTGCAAATCTTTCGTCCCTCCGCCGTCTTATCTATGGTGATACTTCGGCGAGGGTGATAAGGACTTGGAGTCTACAATGCTACCTGCATCCACTTTTCCTCTCCAATTCCATTCCTCTTCCAATTCGCTCTTGCTTTGCAATAAAAAAAAATGTATTAGCCAAGACCATACGAGGTATGAAGGCAAGGGGAAAGAAGTACATGTTGCAAAACTTCAATTATCATAATGGGATTGCCTTTTTCCCTTTCCAGAACAGAAACTTCATGTAAGACAAAGACTCATTGATCAATAGAGATTCAATGAGTGGGATGGCCATGATGCAGTCCTGTAAACCCTTCGATCGACTAATACGTAATGTGGCGTGATATGGTTGAGGAGAAAATGAATCTCGATTGGCCCTCGGATGGTGTGGATGGTGCCAAAGCATCCTGCACTCTGGTTCAGGGGCGGCGCTTCCTCGGCCAGAATTCTCTGCGGCATCGATGAGAAAATGCGGTTTGAATTTCACCAGTTATATGTTGATCTCATTTTTAAGTTACATATCTTACGATAGTGCCTACCAATGAGACTGGTGTAGTCGGTGGTTTTAAATAGAGCGTGCTTTAAAAAAAAATGTGCGGTCGCACATGCAACACCATGAAATTCCCTCTGTTTTCGTCTCTGGCCTTCATGCCCAAACGGAGCACAACAGACTCATCAAAGAGATATTTAAAACCGATAATTTTTGCACTGATCCTTCTTACCAATTTTTATAATTTTCAAGATATAACTAGGTTTAATTATGAATTTCGACATGTGTCTTGTTGCCCATGAGATGTGTCAAAATTTCCGTGAATTAAATTGCAGCCCCCATTTTCTTCCATGAAATGCTCCGTTTTCATCAGGCGAAATGCAAAGCAAAATTTGTAATGTGGTGCCTGTGGAACATTTCTGCACGTATCTCAGCGATTTTACCCATAATATGCATATTTACATGATGCTGGATGTTGGCTGAATTTAAGATCTTCCCTGGGCTGGATTAGTTTTCCTCTCGCTCGAATTGTCAAGTAGCTCATTCCCCTGGAACGAATCCCGCGAGATGGAGAAGCCGCAAACTTGCACCTTATGTTCCATCGAGTGCACTCTTTCTTGCGATTTCCAGTTCCAATGTTTTTTTCGCTTCGTCGACAAACTTCGGAGACCGGGGTCGATCTCGAAATCCTCGTGGCTGTATCGCATTCACTTTTCCTTGCCACGAAAGGCCGAAAATAGGATTTTGTTTGCGGAAGCCGTTGGTCTTCGATTGCGATCCGCTTCTCATGGATGAAAGCCGATTCTCGTATGTTGAAGCTGTTATCGCCTTTCTCCCAATCACCTCAAAGAAAGCTCCCTTCCCCTGAATATGGCGAGTTTCATATTTTGTCGTCTGTTTAGGTTTCAGATTTGGCATTTTTGAGGCCATTGGATTTAAATTATCCTTTTGTTTGAGCGGCAAGTTCCATGCATTTTTGGGGCTCGTTCAGACCTTGACATTGCTCCTGACAAGGATATGCGACATGACAAAATGTCAACTGCTGCGAGAAGTGCAATGGTGAGAGCATGCGATCATCAAAAAAGCAATTCATAATGTTTTCATTGCATCCATTTGGAAAATCCTGAAGAATTTCCCCGTCGATTTGCATCTTCTTGCAAGTGTGACAGGAAATCTCAAAATCCATTTGGCATCGTGTTTTCTTTCTTTCCCTCAGCTAAATCGGTCATGATGTCACATATATTTATGGCAAGGCAGGCCTCAAAATTGCCTTTGGGTCATTTTGCATTAAAACATTGCACATCAGTAAGCCTATTGCTGTGAATTCTGACGAAAGCCTTATTATTTTCAGTCATGGGCCGCCATTTTTCTCTCAGGATATGTAACTGATCCGGCAAGACATTATCAGCAATTTATCATCAGTTAGTGAATATTTGAAAACTTTCTCCAGATCACCCGTAAGAAATACTTTCTGATGGCAGATCATTTTCAATATGTAGAAAAATGGACTACTAAAATGTTGAAAAGGATCGTCCACCTACTCCGGCCGTGCAAAAAGATGGAGCAAAGAACGTGTACGAGAATGAAAGGAGACTTGCCAGGTAGGGGCCAAAAACCACTCTCCCGACGTGGGGCTCGAACCCATGACCCTGAGATTCAAAGCTTCATGCTCTACCGACTGAACTGGCCAAGCTCCGATGAATGCTTCTCAATCATGGACCTTAATATACGAGTAAATGAAGAAAAAGAGTGATTCCATGTCAGATCGACCAAGTTATTCCATGATTTCTAGGTCGACCATCAGCGACTTTGCTGAGATTTGGTGAGGAGGTAGCGTTTGGTCCAAAAGTGGGAAATCCAAAATATTTTTCTTTTCTGGCAAAAAGTGGTCCATGGCGAGGTTACAAAATGTAGACCTATTTTAGCTGGTCAGGCTTGCCTCTGTCAGACTTTCTTCAATAACTCCTGAGCTATTTGTCATAGAGTTTTGATTTAGGATTCCTTTTAAAGGTCTCTGTTCACCCCATATTGTGCACTTATTTCAAACTCATATTCCTATATATTCATTTTTTACAAAAAAATCAGCGGCATTTGACCTTTGACCCTTCATAAGAAATATATAATGTATAAATTTCACCAAATTTACAAGATAACACGAGAATAATATGGTAATGAAGCTCAAGAATTTTCAGGAGGACGTTTTGCCCCTGTC